AAAAAAAAAAAAAAAAAAAAAAAAAAAAAAAAAAAAAAAAAAAAAAAACCATGAAGAACCTTGTTACAATATGCATTGTTTAGGAAGTGAAGTCCTTGAGCACAAACAAAAATTGGTTACAAAAAGCTATCAAATCATGATCAGCTTTGCCTTTGAAACCCCCAAGCTGATACAGAAAAAAGTGGCCTATCTTGCCAACAAATGAACAAAAATCCATTCTCTTCTTTGATTTTATAACCATCATATCCATTGCTCTGCAACAATCTATTTCCCAGAAACATACTATTATAACTCAATCCAACCCTCCCGAACCCCACGCTTTCGAATCGAACTATCCATTTCTCGAGCTTTTCGTGTCTCTCCCTTCTCTCCGCTCCCTCGCAAGCAATGATGTTCTTTATTTCCTCTCCTAAAAGCATCTTCTCGACCCTTTGTCGCTCGATCGACGACCTCGACACCGTTGATTCCAAGCAATCAAACAATGCAGCATAGAAGTTTAGTGCTTCTAGTACTCTCTCCATCAATCCTGATCCATTCAGGTTTGATTCTTGCTCTGTTATTACCATCACTTTTGGAGATAGCCCCCACAGTGCATTCAAAAAACTATTCATCTTTTGTGAAGGATTCAATCCTGATGGCGAACATACCGACGCTGAATCCGGGCTACTACTAAAAACCTGCAACGAATCTGTTTCGAGCCACTCTCCGAGTGTTCTCTGCTTCATACGTAGGAGCTTTTGCAAGTTCTTTGATGCAGATGGCGACGTTTTTGTCTTATCGTCGTCCGTGGCTAAAATCGTGTGAAGTTCGAGTACTGAGCTCACTGCGAGTGCTTCTCCTGTCTTCACCCTTAAACTTTCAAGGTCGAGATTCTCTAACTTGCTAACAACTGGGGTGAACTGAAATGGTATGTCCCATTTTTCGGCCTCTTCGGTTAGCCGAACAGCCATTTGTTCCAACACCTCCTTCTGTTCGTGAATTCCGGTTATTCTCACGTGGGGCGGACCGTCTGGTCGGTCTTTCAATGTCTGAAGAAGGTTTATCCATTGAGCAGGCTCACATGATTTGAAATCAATAATATGAATCATCCTTTCTCCCTCCATAGCTTCTATGATAGCCTGATTAGTTATCACATATGCAAGCTTCAAGAAAGGACATAGCTCAAAGAACAATCTCTGAGCAAGAATCTCTTCCGGAACCGACAATATTTTGGTTGAGTTCAAGGCTTTGTGTAAGCCTGGCCACGATTTGAGTATCCGATCGGCGAGTGCCTCGGTGAAGTAGGCAGCAATCCGCTGCATTGTGTCCCCGTCGGGCGAAGCTAGGTGGGAAATTTGCTCGAGGCCAACATTGGCATTTTCGATGTTGCCAATGGCAACTTGGTTGGCACAGGCAAGAAGAAGGTGAATCAGACATAAGCCCCTCTCTTCAGATTTCAGCTCCCTTAGAAAAGGGTATGGCGATCCTATACCAGGCGATAACGACCATGGAAAGAGCTGCAACGGCGATGAAGTTACTGACGACGACCCCTCCCCGTTAAACATTCCTGCCACTAAAGTACCTGGCCGGGATAAAGAGAAACACACTATTTCAACAAAGACAAGGATGGAGCAGAGTGAAGCAACAAAAGTGCAAAAATTATTACAAATCCTTAGTTCATCGAGGAAATAGCATAAAGTTCACTTAATCTTGCTAAAACGGCTCAAGCCTCCCGTTAGCAGATATTGTTTTCTTTGAGCTTTCCCTTTCTGGCTTTCCCTCGAGGTTCTAAAACACGTTTGCGAGGGAGATGTTTCCACACTCTTATAAAGAATGTTTCGTTCTCCTCCGCAACCAATGTGGGATCTCACAATTTACCCCCTCCAAGGCCCAGTGTCCTCGCTGTCTCTCGTTCCTCTCTCTAATCGATGTGGGATCTCACAATCCACCCTCTTCATGACCCAACGTCCTCACTGGCTCTCGTTCCTCTCTCCAATCGACATGGTATCTCACAATCCACCCCTTTCAAGGCCCAACGTCCTCACTGGCTTTCGTTCCTCTCTCCAATCGACATGGTATCTCCCTAGCTCTCGTTCCTCTCCCCTATCGACGTGGTATCTCACAATCCACCCCCTTCATGATCCAACATCTTCACTCACTCTCGTTCCTCTCCACAATCATACTCATGCTTCAACCCATTTCCAATCCTCAAAAAGCCTAAAAAACGCCATAAAGTTCAAGAAGCAAGCAACCCAGTTCATCAGACTAATCCAAACGAAGCTATAAACTCATCATCCAGCAAAAGACTCAACAGATTACCAAAAGAAACCAGCAAAAACAGCACAAAAACAGCATATCAAACCCAATCAACAGCAGAAAACAACACAAATCCATCACTTCAAATCATCAAACCACTAATCCCCAGAAGCCAACAATCAAAACCCATTAATCCAAATCATAAAAACTCACAAAAAACTCACAAAAAACTCAAAACAAAGAGAAATAATCACCAGAAGAGGATCAAAAACGAATCGAAACAACGATCGAAGAACCCCAGAAGAGAAGAAATCGTCTATCTCCACAAAACAAAACAGAAAATCAATTTCATGAGAAGAATATAGGGTTAAAGACGAAGGGTTTTGATGAAGAACAAACAGAGCACCCTGGAATCAAAGCCTTTGTCTGGAACGACTTTTCCATGGCTGCATTAGAGACAGACAATACAAGGGTATGGTTTTTGGCGCCATTGATTTGTCCTTCATTGGTAGGATCAGAAGAATAAGGAATTTGAGACGAAGAAATAGCTTAATTTCTCTCTCTTTCTTCATCTCTCAAGAAACCCACCTAGATTTTCCCTCTACAAATTCATATTCTTCTCTCAAAATTGATGGGGTTTTGTCAATATCTGAAGTGGATGCGAATAAGAGCTGGCCACAATTTGGAAGGACTTGAGAATTTACCACCGATCCAAACATGCCCTAACAAAACAAAACAACCACCCGCTGTTGTTGCTTAGTGGGTGATAGTGGGAATTGCGAGGAGGCCTTTTCTTTTTTTTCTCTTCTTTTTCTATATGAATCCAAAACGCATACACCTCCCCACTTTCTTAGCACTTCCAGACAAAGAGACAACTGAATTGGGCAAAACCCCAAAACTAAATAGAACTTTCAACTTTAACAAAACCACTTATGTTGTCTTTCCTATTGCCTTTTAAATTTTTTGTAGGTTTTCATTCTAATTTTAAACAGCTTTTCATTTTTTTTAATAATCTGATTCCCGATCCCGACCCCGACCCGACCCGGGTATGATATTGTCCATTTTGTTTATTTTTGTTTTTTCAAAATGTCTCGTACCAATTGTGATAGTGTCTCCTGCTTATGTACTCATGATCTTCTTCGTAGTTAGCTTAGTAGTTTCTAATGAGTGTTTTGTAAACCATCTATGGCGTTTCTTCAATATCCGTCATCCAATTCCTTTCGAGGCTCAACATCCTTGCTGGCACTCATTCTTCTCTGGGATCTCACAATCCACCCCCTTTCAAGACTCAGTGTTCTCACTGGTACACCGCTCAATGTTCACTCCCCTTCAGAGCTCAGCGTCCACACTAGCACATCGCCCAGACACACAATACAACCCACTTTTGGGCCCACCGTTTTCGCTAGCACTCATTCCTTTCTCCAATTGATGTGAGATCTCATGACTCACCCCCCTTCCGAGCCCACCGTCCTCACTGGCACACCACCCGATGTCTGGCTTTGATATCACTTGTAACAGCTCAAGCCCACCGCTAACAAATATTGTCATATAGATTTGGGTTTTCTTTTTCGGTCTTCCCTTCTAGATTTTTAAAACGCGTCTGCTAGAAGAGGTTTACATACTCTTATAAAAAAATAAAAAAAAATGTTTCATTCTCCTCTCAAATCAAGGTGGGATCTCATAATCCACCCCTTTTCAGGACACAAAATCCTCGTTAATACTCGTTCTTCTCTCCAATTGATATGCATTCTCACACCTTATCATCAAGAATCACTCAAAAGTGCTTATAGAAATTATTCCAAACATAATGATATAACTACATTTACGAATATGAGTATAGCTCAATTAGTCAAAACGTTTTATATTTTAACCATAAGGTAGAAGATTTGAACTTTTTACTCGAATATTCATGATTTGATAAGAAAGATTAAGTAATGTGTTAATGGAATTTACCACATAAATTTACCCAAGGTTAATTTTTTAGTGTTTTAACTTTAATTGATTATTTTCCCAACCTGATAATGAAAAGGATGGGTTTGGTGGTAGTAATGGTTTTTGGTTCAATAAATTTCTATTGAAAAAGAGATCTACAAATTACAATTTGTACCCTCCAAAAAAAAGCATTTTACACATTGGGTCCTCAAATTTTGGCACATTTACAACAAGGCCAATAAATTCTTGCAAATTAGCATCAACTTTATTCTTTTTCTTTTTTATAATTTCTTGCTTTTTAAAAGTAAAATGTTGAATATTATTGATATCAAATTATTTGGTGTTATTTAAGTAAATAATTTTCCTTTTTTTCCCCAAAAAAAAAAAGTTTTTTTAATAACATTTTTCTTATTTGTCTAATTCTTTTTTATTTTTTTTTTAAATTAACGAATTTATAAAAGTAGTTATTCTAAAAAAAACATGTAATAAAAAGTAAGAATAAATTTTTATAAAGTATAATTGTCAAAAAAAAAAAAGATATTAAAAATAAGCTCTTAATTTCTATTTATTTAATTTTAAAAAAATAAAAAAAAATACTTATTTTTATAAATAACTCGGGTCTAAGATTCGGATCAGGATTCGTAATCTAGATTCGACACTTACTTCTCACTTTAAAGAACAAAGACTGTGTTAAGAATGATACTCTAATACGATGTTAAGAATGGAAAATAGATATGAGATCGAAAGTGCTAGAAACATAGGTGAGATCTAAAGTTCAATATTGTTAATGTTCGCTATATTCCAATACTATGTACCAAACCAACCGTCATTTCAATATATTTTATTTTGACTTATATAGAGGTCACCCAACATAAAATTGCTCCAAAAAAACACACTGAATTTTAGAGTTTCTATAATCGAGTGATCACAACGAGAGCAGTCTTAAGTTTTTTTTAATTATTCTATCCTTAAGATCGCTCTCATTTAGATATGGTGTTTGTTCATTCATGTATTCTTCTTCTACCCGAGTGTCATATATATAATAAAAAAATTAAAAAAAAAAAAAAAAAAACAAGAGTTCTTAGCATTTCCTAGGTTGAGTTGCAACAGTTTTCTAGGACTGTTTTGGTTGATAAAAGAATTTGTCATGTTCCTTGTTCAATAAAGAAATTTCCAAAAAAGAAAATAAATAAATAAATAAATAAATTTAATTTTAAAGCCTAAAGAAGCTGTCAGGCTGTTTTGAATTGTCTTTTTCATATTTATTCCTTTTTCATTATTTAGAATCTTTCTCTTTTGGCTATAATATATTATTTCCACGTAATTTTTAAAAGCTAAAAATTAAATAATAATAATGATAATTTTAATTCTAAAATATTCTCCAATTTATCTGAAATACTAAAATTCATAAAATAATTTACATAAAATATTGTAAAATGAAAAAAATGTATATAAGGCAATAATTGACCTTTTTTTAAAATTAGTGAGGCTTTAATACAAGATAGTCAATATAGTAGGGGTATTTTCGTCCTTTTACCTCTATTAATGGTCGCAAATCATTCACCTCTAATGTGATAACTTACCTAATTTTAGGTCCCATTAAAGGCTTATCGAGTAAAACGTCAAACCGAGCTCCTTAGCATGTGATTGTTTGGCTACTTCTTTTATATTATCGTAATTTTGTTCTAACTTAAGTTTCTAAAGAAATACTAAGTGATTTCCACACGTGTAGCTTAAGAAAAGACTAAACTAACTACTTGCATGGCTACTCGTGTTCGGAATTTAAAATTCTAACCTTCTGATGCTTCGAACCTCACCAAATTTCGTGGGCAAGTCCTATATATATATTTATATTTTTTCTTAGATTTTTGTTCAATAACTAAATCTTATTGGAACTGTCTATATCCAGTTCATGCATAGAACCATATCACACCACGAATATGATGAAATAAGATGAATTGAGATGCTATTTTGTAAATACGTAATTATCTTAAATATATAACTATTTCTTTATTTTCCAATCCGCAAAACAGACAAATATATATATATATTTTGTAATTTCTTCCACAATTTTATTTTTTTATCTCGAGTGAACCTCTCAATAGGATTTGAACCCATATGAAGTTCTAACCATCTGTTAGAAAAAATAACGAACGGATCTTGTAGGATTCTCGAGAAATTCTTCGATTTCTTCAGCTTTTGACGTTCCATAAAAAAAAATATTTAGGGAACCGCTCTGATTCTATCTCAATCCCAAAAATCTATATATATATAATAAAATAGTTGGAGTTGGAGTTGGAGTTGGTAGGGAGGATTTTAGTGGGATGAAAGGGACATTATTGTCTTTAGCAAAGAATGGATCCAAAGAATGGCTTAGTGGGGGGGTTTTTCCAAAGTCATGATTCTAATTTTGGAGCTTACTGCCTACTCTCTCTCTACTTTTCGTGTTATTTTAATTTCATAATGTTTATGAAATTAACCTAAGTTTTGGATATTGCATTGGATAGTGTGTATGCGCGCTAACCTTCAAAAACATCAATTAAAACTTCCCTCAATTTGAGGATTTCTTTTTTTTTTTAATATTCAATTTTTGTTCTTAAACACGTATATACGTTGTGTTAAGTTGGGTTACAGAAAAGATTGAGGTTGATTGAGTTAGTGACCCGAGTGACCTAAATAGGAATCACAACCCAACCCAACTCTGTATTTTTAGGTTGGGTTGGGTCGTCCAAACTTTTTTTTAAAATTAATTTACTTATTCGCCATATATGTTTTATTAATAATTTAAGTCTCTGTAAAATCTAAATATAAAGTATTTATAAGTTACAATGCATCGCTAACATCTATTATAAACGTCAAATATTTGTAATATTTATCATAATTTTGAAAATAAGGCTGGATTGAGTTGTAAACTTTTTTTTAGGTCGGTTGGATTAAGGATTTAAAAAAATGTTCCAACTTTAGAAAAAATCTAACTCAACCAACTTTTGTAATTTAAGTTGGATAGTTCGGGTTGTTCAGATCATATGAACCAGTTAAATCATTAAAAGTAAATGCAATATTGAAATAATTATATTGTAAATGTTTAAATTAATTCCTATAAAATACTTGAGAATCAAATGAATAATTATAATTATAACCAATACTTGAGAATATTCTTATAATAAAAAATGAAAAATTATAATAATTCAGACCACAACAACATGGGGATTTTTTACTCTTATAAAAGAATAAAATAAAACAAGGGAGAAAAAAGAAAAAAAAATCCGACCTGCCGGATTCGAACCAGCGACCTAAGGATTACTTCAGGATCTGATACCCACTACAGTCCTCCGCTCTACCAACTGAGCTAAGGTCGGTTTTGGTGATGAAATTAATTTTTAATTATTAACTTAAAAACAAGAATTCATCGACGGCTGGATTTTAAATCTTCCGAGGCAAAGCCGAACAGGTTTCGAATTTTTTATTAATATTTTTATTGTTGTTTTTTTTTTTAATTATTGTTTGTCTCTTTGATGTTTTATTATGGTCTGATTGTACTATTTTTATTATGGTTTATTATAAATAATATAAGATCAAAAGATTAATGTCCAAATTAAGAAAAAAAAAAAATCACACGATTAGTATAAACCATTAAAAATATTTAACATTTTGAATGCAAGAATATTTGATATTTGCAGGTAAATTGTTTTAAAAATAATTATAAAAAAGACCCGACAACTCAACCAGTTGAACTCGAAAAATAGAGGGTTGAGTTGAATTGAATTGTGAACTTTATTCGTATTATTCGAATCATGATTTGATATCAGAGTTATATATATATATATATATATATATATATATATATATATATATATATTTATTGGGCTACGTTTGAATTTCTATGAAAGGCCCAAACAATTAGCTGATGGGCCGATAGGCCCAAACCAAGAGCA